ACCAAAGGAAATGAGAAACAAACAACTATATATATTATATAAATGAATAAGCTATTTGAAATAATAATTTTATTCCTTTCTACTCCTTGTTTGGCGGCAGATACATTCATCCAATTAAATAAATATGCTAATTGCTTAAGTAAAGAACAAGGTTCCAAACTCTGATTAAATTCATAATTGTCTCAAAGTTCTATTTTGTTCAAATAAAGTACCAAAGTAATTGAAATTCTCAAATACAGTCATAATTAGACAGAAATTTATAGGACTAACATTGTTAACTCTAAGTGACTGTTGACTAAATATCCTTTTAGAGTTGTTAATAATTGAAAAGTTCAATCAATTATACTTGTTGTGTCGTCAAACACTTTTTTTTTTTTGGAAACATGTTGATGAGTTGAAATTATATACATATTAATGTGAAATTTTTATCTTAATATTGTTGATATTTAGATGAATTTTATGAGATTTTACTTGATTTTACATAATTTTTATTCTTTGTGTAGGAAAGGACTCAATTGGAAGAAATCATAAATTCTAGGAGTAAATTGAAAAGATCAGAAACTTTAGGATCAACTTGTGAAGATCCAGAAGTCAGGGACCAGGACTGTTATTTTACCATTACAAAAATTGCTAAGAAGGCCGAAAACCCGACAAGGTGATGGCATTATGCGCTTAACAGAAGTGTCGGCACCTTGTTGAAAGTATTGACCCCTTACGCGATTTTCACCAAATTTATGTTTAATTAGGTATTATGGGTGTGGGTCCTACTTCTATTCCAATTAGGGTTTTTAAAATCCTATAAATACTCGTCCAAATTCAAAATAAAGAGAGTTGGGTGGAGGTTGGTGGCAGCCTTATTTTGGGCATTCTTGAAGATCAAGAGAAATGATTCAACAATAAAAGATCAAGGAGTTCGATTTCCTCAAATTGACTTTTGTTTTTCCTTGAATTTTTATCTATTGTTTGATATTTGAATGTTCATAACTATGACTTTAGATTTTATTATTTTTATTATGAACTGATTTATTCTATTAAGGCTACGATGTACCATAATCAATTCAATATAAATTTTGTGATTTTATGTTTTCAATTAAAGTTATTTGCACGAGGAGTTTATATTATTGAACTTAATGCATTGGAAGCCTAATCACTTTTTGATTGATTTAGTGATTTATGCATGAACTTAAGAAAGAATTGCATAGATTAGACCAACAATAATATAAACCGTGTGCTAGACTATGAGACCGAGAGGTAATTAGCTCACATGTGGTAGTGGAGGAAGGAAAGAGAGTTAGGAGCTCCCCCTTCTTAAGCTAGAGGTTTCCATAAAATTTAATACTCATTAGTTTGTTTAAAATTACATAGAGATATAATTAATTTAACAAACCAATGAAGGATTAACTTGACTTGAGAAAGTTAGTTAATTAATCTAGGGAAATCCACCATCACATGCAATAACACTCAACAATTTGATAATCCAAAATTTATATTAATTGATAATGGTGAAGTCAATGCCTTAGTACTTCATATCTTAATTAGCGGGGATTTTAATTGTTAATTTCTTTTTATTATTTTTAATTAAAGTTTATTCATTTTTATTGTTCAAATAAATTTAGATTAATTATTTTAGTATTATTTTTAATTAATGTTTATTCATTTTTTATTGTTTAAATAAATTTAGAT